AATGTATGGATGTGATATGGGGGGTTTATATCCAAGATAGTAATATGGGTTTCTTATTGCATCTAATCAGGTCTAATTTAAAATAGTTCAATTGTTGTAAAGCATTGTTTTACTTTATTGCAATGTATATAATCTCCAGAGCTGGGAAGAATATTTAGACAAATAGCTCTGATAGGTGAACGTTTCAATACATGAGCTGTACTATTCGGGGAGTACAACGCGCATAAGTAACAGTACTTGACCCTTCGCTCGGAAACGGCTTATGTACTTGTAACTGTACCTTGGAAAGAAGTAGTTCTGTCACATGATACCAACTCCACTTTCGCACTAAGCAGAAATTTCTCATAAACGTTTGTCCGGCCCCGGGAAGCAGCAAGCAAACCTAAGAAAAAAATATAAATTCTCTCCACTCACCTTAAACCTCTTGAGCCTTTGTCCTCCCTATTCACCAGGGATGGCTGACTCAACATTTGTGTCGGATGTTCAGGAAGACCTGACCGATGATCAGATTCAGCAGTTGCTTCTAGAGGCAGAGACTCGACTAAAGGGCCTCAATGCGCCAAGCACCCAGATTGATGATCTGGCATCTCTTAGGTATGGAAACATGTTGAAGATCAATGTGCTAGGATCTAGGCTTACCTCCTCCTAGGATCCCGAAATTGTCACCTGGGTCCTCGCTGGAATCATATATTGTCCAGGGAGATGATGTTGCTACTGTCGATGCTGCAAAGATCACCGACCAAAAGCAGAAGGAGTTGGCTAATTCTCTTCGCACTGTTGAGATCAAGAAAGCGAACACCGTGAGTCAATCTCGTCCTTGCTTACTCTCCTTTCCTTTTTTTTTTTTGCTATGAGGAAAATATTCCCAACGCGAAGCGCTTGATGCAGCGTAACCAGTCCGTCTTGGGCTGTGCTGCACCAATGAGAGCCTTTTATTCATAGTTACTCTGAGCATTCATCACAATTACTATATTTTCTCGGTGTGCGACATTTGTAGCTATTTGCTAACAACCCTCACCTTGATAGGACAAGCCTACTGCTGGACCTGAGTGGTTCAACCTCCCAAAGACAGAAATGACCCCAGAGCTTAAGAGAGATCTACAGCTCATTCGGATGCGTTCTGTGCTTGATCCCAAGCGTCACTACAAGAAGGAAAATGGCAAGGCCAAACCACCAGAATATTCCCAGGTCGGAACCATCATCGAGGGCCCTACAGAGTTCTTCAGCAACCGTATCACCAAGAAGGACCGCAAGAAGAATTTCGTTGATGAAACATTGGCACTCGAGCGTGGCACCAAGCGCTTTGAATCTAAATATAGGGACATTCAAGCCAGCAAATCAAGTGGAAAGAAGTCCTTCTACAAGGACCTGAAGGCAAAGAGAACCCGGAAAAACAAGTGAGATTTCGGTATCTACTTTTGTCAATTATGCCTTGAATGGCAACAACAACAACAACACCATGTTGGCCGTGGCGGACACGACGAAATTGTCTCTGCTAGAGTCCTAATAAGTTGGACCCAGGTCGTCACGGTCTGAGATCATCATATGCATTCATCCGTGTCAAGCCCAGTCTTACACTTGATCAAAGACATCTACAAGGGTTTCGACAACCAGTTTCTGGATCGATGTCAATTTCATCGTCTTCCAAGGATTGATGCAACGATCTTACCTGCATGTCAATGGCTGCCGCGCGGCCAGCTTCAAGAACCTCTTCGTGTCCTGCCATGCCCTCTTCCAGAAGAGCGCTCAGTTCTCCTGCTGCTTTATTCTGAAGCAAATTATCATCTCCCCGAGGCACAGGAGATAAGACGGCCTTGTTAGTGACTAAACTGAATGCAAGCACTCGTAGACCACAATGTCTGGCAGTGACAATCTCTGGTACTGTGGACATTCCAACCACGTCGGCACCAAGCATTCGAAGCATGCGGCTCTCGGCTCTTGTCTCGTAACTTGGGTGCTATCAGAATAAGATTCAAAAGAAATTGTGTTGTGTCGACTTACGTGGGACCTCCGCAAAATGCATATACACCCTCGTGCAACTTTCTCTTGCTTTCCGGTGATATGACTTTCTTCCATGACTGATGCACATGGCGACGGAGATCAAGGTCATAGGCGTCAGACAGGGGTGGGAACCGCACTCCAAATTCTTCTTCATTGGGTCCTCTCAATGGATGAGTTCCTGCCAAACCTGCGAGGAATATATGCTGTAACCCAGTGTTAGAATAACTCCGCTCAAAGGATTTGACGGTTTCTCTTACATCATTCAATAGAACAATATCCCCCACAGCATACTCAGAGTTCAAACCTCCGGCCGCATTGGTCACTACCAAACAACATTAATTCTCGTTTTTCTGTAACATCAATCTTCATATTATTAAGGGTAATGTAGAACATACAGACAACCGTATCCACTTGCAACCGCTTGAACACTCGAATTGGGAATGCCACCTGATCAATCGAGTGCCCCTCGTAGTAACTATTCCAAGGTCAGTTGTGATATTACAAGCAGAATGAGGGCTTAAGCTGACTGGGCACGGCCAACCATCAACACCGCAGGGATTTTTTGGCCGAGAAGACCGAAAACCAGCTTTCCAGCGTGACCAACGACTGCGGAATGTTAGAAACTCTTCCCTAAGGACGAAGAACGTGACCGACCTGTTGAGCGAGGGAAATGAGGGATGGATGCATAGTCGAATTCAATCCGTGACTCGGGTTGAATGGTATCTGCAAGCCCTCCTAGTCCTGAGCCACATACAATTGCGACCTGAGGCCTTTGCAAGGTCTCTGGCAACTTGGCTCTGAGATAAAAAACCGCTTCGTTTGCCCGCTGGAACGAGGATAGGTCTATCTTTGTCATTTTTGCAGAATTCAGTGTCGTAAACCGCCAAAGAAGTAGAATATATACAAAGTGAGAAATCGGATGAGCGAAAGAAAGCGATGTTTCCAAGTGCGGAGTCACATGGTTCCATTGCCCAGGTCGCTAGTTTGGCGGGGGTGCCAATGATCGGATTCATACTGGAGAGGATTCGAGATAAGCAGCCTCGGGGGATACTTACTACATTAGCCATGTCAAATGTACTAATATTGAGCCCATTGAATGGAACATCCTATCTAAAAGTCAGAAGAGAGATGATCACCTACAAGAGAACACATCTATAACTATATACGGTAACATGGGGAATTGGTTGCACAACCTCAGTTATACTATTATACAATTGACGTATTTATATAATAACGGCAAAAGATGATACACTAGTTCGTATGGATTATCATTGACCTAATTATAGTTAAACTGAGGAGATATAGTTATCACCGTCCGTTGGAGACAGTCGTCTCGGTCCCTTCTCTATATCCCCAAGTTCCCCACTCACCGCCCTGGACTCGCTCGCCGAAAAAACCCATCCGCTAACAACAACGGATCTTCCTCAAAATCACGATTAACAATGTTCTCATACACATCGCGCTCCTTAATTGGAGTGAGCACGAGCCTCAGGGTATGTTCTCATTTTGTTTAACTCACAATTTCGACGCTAACAGCTCCTTGGAAGGTGCCTGTGCCATTCCGCTCTCTATCATCCCCAACCCAACCAACTCCGCCGGAGCAAGAGAAGACACCCGTTCAAGACCCAACATCGACACCTGCCGCAGCTGCTCCTGCAGAAGCTGCCCCTGTGACCCCAACACCTGCCGCTACACCTGACGCTACGCCCGTCGCGACTCCCGCCGCTACCCCCGCCGCTACCGCCCCTGCATCGATTGCTCCAGTAGCGTAAGATACCCTTCAAATCTAGGATGATTCGGCTTTGTTGCTAATTGAGACATTGCAGACCGATGGAAGCCGAGCAAATTACCGAGCCTAAGGTGAAAGAATGGTCAGTATCCAAGGCAATTGGCTCAGAGTCGAAATAGATCAAAGATCACTGCTCACAGTTCGGTTAGGTCTGAACGGTTAGGAGCATTCGGTGAGGAGAACCGACTTCCACGCAGCGTGCAAGCCATATACCTAAGGCCTTTGCGGAGGAAGGTGGAGTACGGCCTCCCAGTCTGCGACCTTCAATTGCGATCATACAGCGTCCGTAACGTGGAGTTCTTCACGGATTTTGCCATCCGTGCCGCGTACTACCTCAATCTTCCTGTGTCCGGGCCTGTGCCTCTCCCTCGCATCGTCGAACGCTGGACCGTACCCCGAAGTAACTTCGTGCACAAAAAGAGCCAGGAGAACTTTGAACGAATCACCCTCCGTCGACTGGTTCAGATCAAGGATGGAAACCCACAAGCGGTGCAGGCATGGCTTGCATTCCTCCGGAAGCATGCGTTTTATGGAGTGGGTATGAAGGCAAACGTCTGGGAACATGACAGTCTCGGTATGGGTTACACTTTTTTTCTTTCCTTTTTCGCCTGGCTGGTGTCTTCTATGAGCAGAGTACTAATACTCTATACTAGATGCTGGTAAGGCCATGGACGCTTCTGTTGCCGAGGTGGAAGAAGCTCTTCGTCCCGAGCTCGCGCAATTCGGTCAGCGGAAGGACAACTCGGGCCCGGGCACGATATTCGATACTTTGAACAATGAGCGATTCGCCGAGCGCAAGCGTCTATAGATGGAATGGCGATCTACTGTTGAACTTGTATACCCGTGAACATCCGGACTTGCTGTCTTTGCTGCAGGCGCTGTTTCCATTATATTCAAAAGCCTTCTTGATCTAGGCCATATGTATTTTACTGTTTTACTATTCTCATTTAAGCCCAGATGAAAGAAAGTTTCTATATACTGAATGTTACTCGCCACAACTGATCCCCAATAGACGTGTTACTGCTCGCATATTCTGCAAATGTGCGAAATTTGAATATTACGAGTCATTGTACGATGTTGATCACGTGATAAATCTCGCGTTTCGCGTTTTTCGGTGGTTATTGGGGACTACGGCAGTCCGAAGCAATTGCACCTAAAACTTTCCATTCTCGCACCGATTTAGCGTTTGTTGGAGATGTCTGCTAACGCGATGCGTCATGAATTTGCCTCGCCGAGGCCATTGCGTGCAAAACATCTCTATATCCGTCCAAGCGGGCTCTCTCTTCTTCCAAGGAGATGCCATCGATGGAACAGCTCAAGCATTACGCCGCCAGCACAAGAGCCCGTTATATTTTCTGGGATCCAACCAACTGGTGTGCCTCATTTGGGCAATTATCTAGGAGCTTTGCATCAATGGGTGAAGCTCCAACAAGATGCAACCGAAGGAACCAAGCTGTTTTTCTCTATTGTTGATTTGCATGCATTGACGGTACCACAAGACCCAGCCCAATTGAAGAAATGGAGGAAGGAGGCCTTTGCAACATTGCTTGCTGTGGGCCTTGATCCTAAGCGCTCTACAATATTCTACCAGTCCGGGGTAGGTTCTCGTCTTATAGCTGTCGGCTGCTAGGGACAATCGGGATTTCATATTGACATTCATCAGGTGCCAGCACATACCGAGTTGATGTGGATTCTCAGCACGGTGGCTTCCATGGGGTATCTGTCGCGTATGACACAGTGGAAGGTGAGCGGCCCTGTAATTTATACAGAAAGAGCATCTTATTGACACTCTCCAGAGTAAGCTACAGCTGCCAGACGACGCCACCCTTGATGATTCAACGGCACGGGCACAGCTTCGACTTGGTCTTTTCTCCTATCCAGTACTACAAGCAGCCGATATTCTTTTGCACAAGTATGTTTCTCGTCTACATTGGCCGTTCTTTGCTAATGATCATTAAGAGCGACTCATGTTCCGGTTGGAGAAGACCAAAGACAGCACCTGGAGTTTTCCAGATACACTGCGAATAGCTTCAACCACCTCTATGGGCCCATCTTCCCTATACCAGAGGCATTGATATGTAAGATAACAGTTACCCGAAGGAAGAATGAACAGAACGAACAGAACGAAACATTAACTTGACCAGCCCCCGCAAAGCGAGTGATGTCCCTTAAGGAACCCACGTCAAAGATGTCCAAATCGCACGCCGATGGGAAATCCCGGATCATTCTTACCGACTCACCGGCCGAGATCCGCAAGAAAGTCAAGGTAGCCCTGACGGACTCGGAGGCAAGCATCACCTACGACCCGATCTGTCGGCCTGGGGTGTCTAATCTCATCGAAATCCTAAGCCACCTGGAGGGTGTATCTTGCGAGGATATTGCGGCTGAGTTCCACAACGCAAGTCTTCGATCATTCAAGGAACACGTTGCAGATCGAATCATCCATCATCTGCAAGAAATCCGAGATCGGTATATTACGATCATGGATGATCAGACAGGGTACTTGGAGTCGGTGGCTGAGGAGGGCGCCGAAGCAGCGCGGGCCAATAGTCGGATGACCATGCAGCAAATCCGGGATGCGATGGGTCTGTAAGTGGCGAGTAGGCGGTTTCGACTTTACAATATATAATGAAGGTAGTGAGATGTACAATATGTAAGTATTAGAGTCATGTCCGTTAGAGCCCAAAGGGGGCTGAAAGTGGAGTCCACCGCGTCATCGCCTCCACCACGTATATCGCGTACGTACGCTGAAAAGTACAAAGTCATGATTTGTTGAATTTAGGAATCAAAGGTTAAAGACTTGGTTTATGTTAGATGTTAGATCAACTACATATATATGTATACAAAGTCGTTTACACTTACGTTGTACTTATGCTTGGTGACGACAGCACTATAGAGTTCCCGCCTGACCCGTTCATCTTCGAGAAGAACAGGAAAGATATAAATATATAAAATACATCTATTGTACGTATGATCCACCTGAGAATCCGGCTGGAGCCGACTAGGTAGCTCCATAGTCATTTGTGGAAAGATATCAACTTCCCCCCCCGTTTCTTCTTTTTTTCCCTCTTTACCTCTCTTTTGCTTCAACTTTCCTCTTGACTTGCTACTCTATTCAAAACCACCCCCACCTAGGACGTCATCTCTGAAGTTCAAAAAATCGAATAGCTCATCCCTTACTTGCGGAATACGGGGAGGACGATCGACGCTATCATGAAAAATGCTTGGGTCTTATTGGTCACCGGCCTGGCGCTGCCAGTCTGGGGTTTAACCCTCCATCGAAGAGATAACCCCGCCGTGGTGCAAATGGATATTCAACGAAAGGATATTCTCGACCCCGTCGCTAGAGATCAAGCAAGGAGGAAACGTTCGACCGTCAGTCAGGCATTGGACAATGAGGTACACATGATATCTATTTATATATCTATTTATTGGTATATATAATTCTTACGCAGCTGCTAATGTGTCTGCCTAGGAAACTTTATACTTCTGTAATATTACCCTGGGTACCCCGGAGCAGAGTGTACGCCTGGTTCTCGACACTGGAAGTAGTGATTTGTGGTGCAATACGCCGAATTCGACTCTCTGTGCAGCCAGCAAAGACGCCTGCGCTGAATCTGGTACTTACAACTCGAGCTCTTCCTCTTCATATTCATTCGTGAACTCGGACTTCAATATCACCTATGCCGATGGATCCGGCGCCGCCGGAGACTATGTCACCGACACCCTTACCATTGGAGGCACAACTATTAAAGACTTCCAGTTTGGCCTTGGGTTTACCTCTGGCTCTTCGGGTGAGTGATTTCTGTCGGATATAACGCTGATTACCACAGAGCTAACATGGATGTCTGTATACAGAGGGTGTGCTGGGTATAGGATATACTACGAATGAAGTTCAGGTTGGCAGAAATGGAGACTCGGCTTATGCCAACCTGCCCAAGGCAATGGTCAGCAAAGGAGTAATCCAATCAAATGCCTACAGTCTCTGGCTGAACGATCTGGATGCGAGTACAGGCTCGATTTTGTTTGGTGGAGTCAACACTAAGAAATACCACGGCACCCTGCAAACAGTTCCCGTCCAGAAGGTCAACGGACAGTATTCGGAGTTCATCATTGCGCTCACTGGACTTTCCCTCACCAATTCATCCGGCAAAAATACCTATTCTTCCAGTGCCCTTCCTGCGGGCGTGTTGCTGGATTCGGGAAGCTCTCTTACATACCTTCCGGACGCCCTGGTTCAGGATATCTACAATGATCTCAGTGTCTCCTACGAGTCGGACAGTGGCATTGGCTATGTTGAATGCAGCATGGCAGATAAGAACATCACCCTCGGTTACACATTCTCATCCCCGACGATCAGTGTGGAAATCAAAGAGATGATCATCGATGTTGGCGATCTCTATTTCCGGAACGGCAAACGGGCCTGCGTTTTCGGTATTGTTCCTGCGGGGACCAGCACGGCAGTCCTGGGAGATACCTTCCTTCGCAGCGCATATGTGGTATACGATCTCGCCAATAATGAGATCTCCCTCGCCAACACCAACTTCAACACCACCGAGAATGATGTTTTGGAAATCGGGACTGGCACTGATTCCGTCCCTGGTGCAACTGCAGTATCGAACCCAGTGACTACCGCGTCGGTTGGTGGCACCGCTGCTCGAATCGGAGCACCGCAGGGAGAGACCGGACTTTCCGGCACCTCCTCTGTCACTGGGAATATGGCCATTCCTATGGCGACCGCTATGCCGAAACACATGGCTGTCGGCCTTGTCGGCGTGGGAGCTCTTCTGGCTTTCTAAAACCGCTAGGGTTCATTTGGCTGATCAGTTAATTTTCTTCTTATGTAGATGTCTCGCATAATATGGTGTATTTGGGGTTTGGAAAGGCTATACCTAAAATTATTGTCCGTACTCTCAATTATCGAGTTCTTACGTGTTATGAAATAGAAAGCACCTATTTTTGATCTAATATAGCTATGTGCATGTGGAAAACTGTCTGTATACATATCCTTACAGCTATATTCACTTCTCCCAGCTCTCTTCAGACTAGCCTAGGGGCTGCTGAGTCCTGACGCGTATGGACATGAAGGCCTTCTAGATGTGTGAGATATCTTCTTCATCATTTACTCACTTGTTTACATATCTATCAATATATAGAAAGTGAATTCTCTACACATTCACAATGACACCCTTCGACCACGCAGATCAACAATAGCCTAACGCCATCCTAAGGACCACATCCCTAGGGATGAAGAAGCCATCAAAGCAAAAGCAACTGAGTCCTTCTCTAATGTAAATGACCAAAACTGGTATGGTTAACTGACGTATATTTACAATCCTTAGTCTTAAATCTCATAGATCTCTATGAATTTGTATATAAATTTGTAAATATCTTGGCATAGGCATCCCTTGGCACCAACGTTCCCCGACTGACCACCTCCTCGAATTCCCAGAATGCCCCGAATCCCCTTTTCTGTCATTATAAAAGCCCAACGGGAAAATAATCTTCTGCCTATACTCCTTAAAGAATGTCGCACAATCGATTCGGCTCGCAATGAGCTTCGTTGGCTACGCGAGCGGGCAGTTCGCGATAGCCAGTCTCTTCCATCAAAGGCAGGATGGAGAAGCCGATTGAGATCTATGTGTCGCATGCGATCTAGAGGATATCCTCTCCAATATATTCTTGGAGATCAACCATTCGGCGACTTGGAGATTCTTTGCCGAAGAGGTGTTTTGATCCCAAGGTCTGCCTATCAGATTCTTTAAAAATCGATACTCTTACTGACAAGCATTCATAGGCCAGAAACTGAATCGTATACGTACCAAGCAGCCAACTTGGTCCGTCAAATGGCCCTGGGCCATAATGACAAGTCCAAGTCTCCTAATCAGGCGAGACCTTTGCGTGTCATTGACCTTTGCACTGGAACAGGTTGCATACCACTTCTCTTGCACGCCTTACTTTGTCCTCATTTCCAGGAGCTAGAGATAACAGGAGTGGATATCAGTCCTACGGCCTTAGACCTAGCCCGAGAGAATCTCGAGCATAACCTGCAACTAGGCCAGTTGGCACCCCGTGCAGGGACAGACATACACTTCTATCGCGCCGATGTCCTCGGACATAACAGTGACAATTCAGTCCCGTCCATCGAGTCAATGCTCCAAACACAACACCCCAATCTCGGAGCATTGGACATCTCATCACCCGACCAAGAAAGTGAATGTGATCTATTGATCTCCAACCCGCCCTACATATCCCAAACGGACTTCCGCAACGGTACCACTGCACGCAGTGTACGGCGCTTTGAGCCCAAGCTGGCACTTGTGCCTCCATACTTGGGCTCCGGGATGGAAGACTGCATGCCCGAGGATATCTTCTACCACCGCATTCTTACCCTGGCATTGAAGTTGAAGGCCAAGCTCACGGTGCTGGAGTGTGGGGATTCTCACCAGGCTAATCGAGTGGTTGCTCTTCACAAGCGACTTGCTTCGGCTGAATCTGGGCAGTCCAGGGCGGAGGTCTGGCCGAGCCGAGAGCAGGATCTGGCTGATAATGGGTTTCATGAGACTGACGGATCACGAGGTGTCATCATACGAACTCTCCGGTAGCGCACGTGCCCATCATTCTCGATCCATCAGAGGAGAGGAGCCTTTTCCCCTATGTCAGACCATCATCAAAAGGCCTGCGCAGGTGGCAGCAATCATACTGTTTGTCTCGGGAAGACCAGGGTCTGGAGTACTTGATGGAGACGGAAGTTGTATATTATGATTCCCAATATTAATTCCAATTATGTAACTTTGAACTGGTCTGGTATTTCTTGTTTATAAAAGTATCATACATACGAATCTGTTTCGGTCTTAATAATATCACATAAATTTGCGAACACGTAGAAGGATGCACAGAGAGAACTAAACAAGTGCATTTGTATCACCCATGGAAAAAAGAAAGAAGAAAAGAAGAAAAAGGAACATTATATACAGAATAGGGTAGACTACCCGTGGACCAGCAAGCCAAGAGTGCTGGTCAGTTTTGGGAGTATTAAAACACATAAGAGATGCAAAAGGCGAATTAATGTACTTGAATTAGCGTAAAAATGGCACGAAAACCAACGGGGAGATCCAAAATTCCCAACCCAAAACACAGGTGAAGAATACAGCTCGTCTACCGAAAAGTCTGTAGTGGCCCTCGATTGATCCCTGTAGTCTAGAACCAAGTAAGCATTGTGAAGTCGTAAAGAATGTGATTTAGCGCCGTCGTTTTAAAGATTCTTCTTTTTTTCGGAGGAGTAGCTGCGATCGTCTTCGCCCTCGACATCCTTGAGGATCGACTCCATCTCCTTGGCTTGGCGCTTCCACTCCTTATCGCCCATCTTTGTCTCTCTGCGGAAAAGCTCCTCGTTGGGCTTGCGGTAGCTGCCACCTAGGCGGTCCCATAGGGTGGTAAACTGTCCGTAGTTGTAGTTGAAGTACAAGTGGTGCATGGTGTGGCAGGCAGCACCGTTCACGATGGGGCTGTTGGCGACGTACTCGCCGTCATGAATGAAGACGGTCCAGAGATTGATGAAGCCGAACAGGAAGACGTAGGCGATCTTCTGCAGGGGGAATATGAAGGGGAAGACGTGGTACGGAACACTTTGGGACCAACCATCGAGCGGGTGGAAGGCGTGTGAAGCATAAGGGCTTGGCATGATCCATTTGTGGTGAGGCTTGTGCAGGGTTTTGTAGACACGGGGGTGGTGCAAGCCGCGGTGAATCCAGTAGATGAAGAAATCGGTAAAGCAGATGAAGAATGGGATTTGGATGAGACTGTAGTACGGGAAGGGTTCGTCGGCGGTAGTGTCGTAGAGTTTGGCGTATCCGCGAACCTCAAGAACGAAGAAAGGAGCTGTCAACAGGGACATTGGGGGCATTGCGGCCATGGCCTGTCTGATTTCCAGACCAATCTGGTTCTTGAGGAATTTGGGGTGGTTGTAGGTTGTCTTGTCCCAGATAAAGATGAATGAAAGTGTTGCAACCAAGAAGTAGACAAGCAGTCCAAACAGCCTAATTGGATGTTAGTACATTGTACCGACACGGAAAAAGCAGCGATTTGAAAGAATTGGCGCATTACCAAGTGATCAGAAAAAAGCTTGTAAATTGACGGTAAATGTTGTTCCTGGGCCAAGCACTCAGGTATGCATATTTCGAAGGTTCCAGGTAAATCATCTGTGTAGCCTGTTCATAGACAAAAGGTTCTGGACCAAAAAGGGCCATTGAAGTGTTGGCGGCCGCATTGACGAATGCCGGCAACGAGACGGACGAAGATAACGAGGCGGGGAGAAGTGTCGAATAGAGGCGATCACCAATAAAGGTGTCCCATAATTCGAGAATGATATCCATGATTGAGGGCACAGATAGGGTTGAGGGGAGGGGGAGGGAGACAGGGAAGAATGAGGAGTACTTGAAGGAACAAGAAAAAGGAGATTTGCAGCGAATAACAAAGTAGTCATACCAGCGCGGAACCGCCACAGCCGTTGCGATGCCACCTTTTCTTAATAAGCCAATTGATCCAGGGGGGATGGTCTGATGCGGGTTAATGATATGGTTATCTTATGAGTGGATGGAGTTATAGTATATAGTAGTTTATTTTATATTAGTTTCTATACGAATCCTCTAAATTCACTCCTATCACTTCATAACTATACCTTCATGGCCTGCGTTGTACTAAGAAAAAGAGAGGAAACTTTAAAAGAACCCCTGGTTTGCCACAGTTGATGCCTTGATGCCTGAATACACTTTGTGGCTTATCAGGCAATCAACACATGATAAGTCAAAATTACAATACATACAGTAGCTGCAGTACTAAATTGGTACTGCATGGACCAGTTCCACTTCGGCTTCCCGTACTCAGAGGTACCTCCACTGCCCGCACCGGCGGGTGTAGATCCAAGTATTCCCTGGTATTCCAGGTATCTTTGGAATAATACCAGTTTCATGCGAACCTCACGATCTGGACCTCATAGATATGGATAAATGAACGTATTTAGCCCTATACAAAAGTACTTTAGATCCAAAACTAAAACTAGATCTTTTGGTTCATCTCTGTATCGTATAAAAGTACTCATCTAATTGTTATTTGCTTGAGCATTTTCTTTCTTGTTATAGGAGTAGTATTATATACAAGGTTAAAAAGTAGCCTACGGTAAGACCCGCTGCGCTTCTCGGCTATGGCCTCGCTTCACGCGTCAACCATTGCCGCCTTTCCCCCCAAACTCAAACCTTCCCGCTTTAAAGTGTCAGCTGCCAGCCTCTTCCACCCCTCTTACCGCTACACCCCCATTCTCATCTTCCAGCTTATACCGTATCGCCCACTATCGCTGTGGCTAGCTGCGTGGTGCTATCCACCAAGCATTGAAGCCTCGGTGATCAAGATCATTGAGTCCAGGTCGAAAACTTGGTTGCGATCCTATTCGCTGACCTAGACCTGCCGTCCGAACGTCGCTTTCGTCCCTCTCCGACTTGTGAAAGACAGGAAGAAAAAAAATATCCTCCACCATGTACAACGCTCATCGCGGGATGGTACCCGCTCCCAACTCCCGTCTGACGGAGTTGTTGGATCAACTGCGCCAGGAGTTTGAGAGCCAGTCGCGAAACACCGGTGAATTCGAGCATCAGTGTATGTTATCTTCTCCTTTCCGACATATTGTTTCCCCTCCCCTATGCTCGGGCTATTCGCGCCTTGAGCTCCTCCCCCCCC